AAAGACTACAACAAGAAAGTATGGTTTGCTATTTTACAACATATGTTATTTCTCCAAAAGTAAAACTTTACCTTCAAAAAGACTTCAAATTAGCCCAAAATATAAATTGAACCACAATGAACCTTGGGATCAAAGCAAGTAGAATACATTATCTCTAATCAATCTAGATCATACATGCTTACAGAATTATCAAAATTCTGATTCATAACTAGAATGCTTCACATTACTTCTTATGGTGGCTGGGTTTCAGACAGGAGGATGTATGATGGTGGTTGGGCAACGACTCTTTCAAGGTTAATGCAACTTACAGAATGATGAACCACCCCAACTGGCCTAGGAAGCTCATTTGGAAAACAAAAATACCACAAAAAGTAGCTTGCTTTCTGTGTGGCTACTAGCTAAGGGAGCAGTCCTTACACAGGCAAGATGAGGAGAGGGATCCCATTATGTTCCAGATGTTTCTTTTGCAGTGAAAAGGCAGACTGTTAATCATCTATTCCTACATTTCAAGAACACAAGACAACATTGGAGAATATTCTTAAATCTCAAAGGCATTTCATGGAGGTCTACCGGCAAAAGACAGAAGTAGATGGAGAATTGTTCATGCCTGTATGGTGGGCAATTTGGAAGGAGGGGAACTCTAGATGTTTTGACAATGTAGAGAATAGTATGCAGAGTATCAAGTTGAATATATTATCTTGATCCTGTGAGTAGGTGTAATCAGTTAAAACTCAAACGATAGCGACCTTACTTGAACATGATCTGTTTTATAGGATCATACTATCCTTGAGTTTAGTAGATGAACTGTGGCAATGAGACCAGAGGATGATTAACAGCCTCCTTGTGCGAGGCAGTTTCCGAAGACCCTTGGCTAAAATAAGCATTTTCATAAGCTGCTTTTGAAAAATACGAGAGTGAAGAAGAAACTGTGAAAATACTGAGGAAATGAGAGTATAAGCAAAAAATGTAGGATAACCAAAAATGATAGTTTATCTTTGAAGGTTCACCCAAAACAAAAAGGATGGCTCAATTTCCACCGACTTATTGTATGTTTTCAACATTACACCTCTCAGCTTATTGTTTCCATCTAACCCGGCATGATGCCTAATCCTCAAAAATCGACACGTCATCTTAAAGTTCATGGATGACCAAGCACTATCAAAGATAGTAACTGCATAGCAAACCAGCAATATAAAGTTCAGAAGAGACACAAAGTCATCTTAAAAGTACCAGTTTCAAAACAACCCACAGTGATATATAAAAGGATTTAAATGCTCTTATATGAGGAGTCAACAAATAAACAATCAATTTTTACTTCTATTTTAGAATGAAAAAATTCTCAAGACAAGAAAGTTTGTCGAGAGTTCTTTGCTAAACAAAATGAAACAAAAGAAGAGTGCCCAAAAAAACCTTTTCTACAGATAAAAGCATAATTGCAGAGCAGATAGACTTCGGTTGATATTCCCTCTATAGAACCTCTTCCTCTTTCTCCCTCTCTCTATTAGAACGAATTGATCAATACTAAATTTCGTGGTCTTATTCTGGTGCAACCAAATTCACCACCACCACAACAACATAAAGACGGAACACGCCATTTACTAAAAGTCAGGTAAAAAGGTTGTAGATGCCTAAAGTGAAACTAACTCAAACTTCCCACACCTCGGAGATGCCTCCCAATGAAATCAGTGTTTGTAAAATATTTCCTTTTTTCTAGAGAACAAATTCCAATGGCCATACTTGCACTTTTGTCAAGTCGCACAAGTGAAGGCATTTTTTTCACTCAAGAAGAATATGCCAAAAAACTTCTCAAAAAGTTTGGGCTGAAGCAAAGTAAAAAGTGTGCTACTCTAGAGACAAACACAAGATTAAGGAGCGACGAAGGCTCACTTCTTGTAGATCCCAAACCTTTTCAAGCTATTGTTGGAAGTCCTCTACATTTGACTATTACAAGACTAGATATTTAACATTCTCTGTTAGGATATGTCAACAGATTCATGCAATCACTTAAAAAGCCTCACCTAGCGTAGTGCCTTGAGTCCCCCCAGGCCCCCGAGGTGCCATACTTCGAGGACATCATCAGGTTCAATAATCATCTCGGGGGGTGGGGGGGTCCTCGAGGCATGGCGCTTCGGGGGCCTAGGGGTCCTCGAGGTATGGCGCCTCGGGGGCCTAGGGGTCCTCGAGGCGCCATACCTCGAGGACCCCTAGGCCCCCGAAGCGCCATGCCTCGGGGACCCCCCCACCCCCCGAGATGATTATTGAACCTGATGATGTCCTCGAAGTATGGCACCTCGGGGGCCTGGGGGGACTCAAGGCACTACGCTAGGTGAGGCTTTTTAAGTGATTGCATGAATCTGTTGACATATCCTAACAGAGAATGTTAAATATCTAGTCTTGTAATAGTCAAATGTAGAGGACTTCCAACAATAGCTTGAAAAGGTTTGGGATCTACAAGAAGTGAGCCTTCGTCGCTCCTTAATCTTGTGTTTGTCTCTAGAGTAGCACACTTTTTACTTTGCTTCAGCCCAAACTTTTTGAGAAGTTTTTTGGCATATTCTTCTTGAGTGAAAAAAATGCCTTCACTTGTGCGACTTGACAAAAGTGCAAGTATGGCCATTGGAATTTGTTCTCTAGAAAAAAGGAAATATTTTACAAACACTGATTTCATTGGGAGGCATCTCCGAGGTGTGGGAAGTTTGAGTTAGTTTCACTTTAGGCATCTACAACCTTTTTACCTGACTTTTAGTAAATGGCGTGTTCCGTCTTTATGTTGTTGTGGTGGTGGTGAATTTGGTTGCACCAGAATAAGACCACGAAATTTAGTATTGATCAATTCGTTCTAATAGAGAGAGGGAGAAAGAGGAAGAGGTTCTATAGAGGGAATATCAACCGAAGTCTATCTGCTCTGCAATTATGCTTTTATCTGTAGAAAAGGTTTTTTTGGGCACTCTTCTTTTGTTTCATTTTGTTTAGCAAAGAACTCTCGACAAACTTTCTTGTCTTGAGAATTTTTTCATTCTAAAATAGAAGTAAAAATTGATTGTTTATTTGTTGACTCCTCATATAAGAGCATTTAAATCCTTTTATATATCACTGTGGGTTGTTTTGAAACTGGTACTTTTAAGATGACTTTGTGTCTCTTCTGAACTTTATATTGCTGGTTTGCTATGCAGTTACTATCTTTGATAGTGCTTGGTCATCCATGAACTTTAAGATGACGTGTCGATTTTTGAGGATTAGGCATCATGCCGGGTTAGATGGAAACAATAAGCTGAGAGGTGTAATGTTGAAAACATACAATAAGTCGGTGGAAATTGAGCCATCCTTTTTGTTTTGGGTGAACCTTCAAAGATGCTGAGAGGTGTAAGGTTGAAAACATACAATAAGTTGGTGGGAGTTGAGCCATCCTTTTTGTTTTGGGTGAACCTTCAAAGATAAACTATCATTTTTGGTTATCCTACATTTTTTGCTTATACTCTCATTTCCTCAGTATTTTCACAGTTTCTTCTTCACTCTCGTATTTTTCAAAAGCAGCTTATGAAAATGCTTATTTTAGCCAAGGGTCTTCGGAAACTGCCTCGCACAAGGAGGCTGTTAATCATCCTCTGGTCTCATTGCCACAGTTCATCTACTAAACTCAAGGATAGTATGATCCTATAAAACAGATCATGTTCAAGTAAGGTCGCTATCGTTTGAGTTTTAACTGATTACACCTACTCACAGGATCAAGATAATATATTCAACTTGATACTCTGCATACTATTCTCTACATTGTCAAAACATCTAGAGTTCCCCTCCTTCCAAATTGCCCACCATACAGGCATGAACAATTCTCCATCTACTTCTGTCTTTTGCCGGTAGACCTCCATGAAATGCCTTTGAGATTTAAGAATATTCTCCAATGTTGTCTTGTGTTCTTGAAATGTAGGAATAGATGATTAACAGTCTGCCTTTTCACTGCAAAAGAAACATCTGGAACATAATGGGATCCCTCTCCTCATCTTGCCTGTGTAAGGACTGCTCCCTTAGCTAGTAGCCACACAGAAAGCAAGCTACTTTTTGTGGTATTTTTGTTTTCCAAATGAGCTTCCTAGGCCAGTTGGGGTGGTTCATCATTCTGTAAGTTGCATTAACCTTGAAAGAGTCGTTGCCCAACCACCATCATACATCCTCCTGTCTGAAACCCAGCCACCATAAGAAGTAATGTGAAGCATTCTAGTTATGAATCAGAATTTTGATAATTCTGTAAGCATGTATGATCTAGATTGATTAGAGATAATGTATTCTACTTGCTTTGATCCCAAGGTTCATTGTGGTTCAATTTATATTTTGGGCTAATTTGAAGTCTTTTTGAAGGTAAAGTTTTACTTTTGGAGAAATAACATATGTTGTAAAATAGCAAACCATACTTTCTTGTTGTAGTCTTTTGTAGTCTTGAGGAATTTCTTTTCACTAGCATATAAAATTGGGATTGGGAGAAAGTAACTTTCTTGTTGGTTATTCGGAGTTGTTTCTGGTACAACAATAAGAACTCGGTGAACAAATAATTGTATGAAGTGGTAGTATCCTTCCCAACTATGATGGATTATCAAAGTTTGGTGTTATTGGAGCAGGTAATGGAGCCAGGTGCAAGGGGGTCTTATTTGAAGGATTAAGAGAAGACAGAAATGTACAAGAAGCATAAGGAAAACCCAGAGTTGTATACAGTTGAGTGCTTAGCAAAAGATTACAGGATCATGAGGCAGAGGGTTCATGCAATTCTATGGCTGAAGGAACTTGAGGAGGAGGAGGAAAAGAAGAAGCTTGGGCGTTCATTGGATGACTCGGTTGAGCTCTTGCTTGATGCATGCCCAGAGTAAGTGCATTAGATTCTGAAGTCATTTCCTTTAAAATCCTCCGAGATTATGTAACAACTTATAACTTCGTCCAAGTTTGATGTTCTTATTATTATTTTTTGAAAATGGCACTTTGTTAATGTTTATTACCAAAAGGGTACCGCAAAAGTATATAAGTTGAAAACATGAAACAGTCACGGCTTTCCACAAAATCCAAAAGAAATGCTGGATTTTCCATTGTATATTGCTCATATATCATTAGGACTATAAGTTTTGTATACCCTTATACTTTAGAAAAGAAGTATGTGATTTTTCCTTTTCCAAAACATTTATTTTTTCTGTCCTCCAAATAGTCCCCACATGATGCAAGTTGGGATAGTCTTTCAAGTTGACTTTAGTCTTCTTATTTTTCTGGTGAGTCTTAACATAGAAAGCATTTGTTGTTGCAGAGATAGAAGCCCCTCTCTCTGATACATCTTGAGTTAAGTATGCTTCTTTTTCAGTCTATCCAAAGCTGGACCTTTTTCGGGTGCCTTCATTCTTTAAAACATTTTCCATGGGTATTCAGCCTCCCATTGTCCTGTTTGTCTATTGCAGTAGATTGTAATCGCTGAATACACCACTGCTGCTGGCCATCCACACTTGTGCATAAAACAATCTGAAATAGGTGCATATTTATTCCAGAACTATATTGTATAAAACAAGGAACACTTATTTCAGAATCCCTGGCCATCTATCTAACCAAAAGGTATCACATTTATCATCTCATATCGAATGATGGAATATGAGGAAAAGAAACGTTTCACTTGAGATTAATATGAAATGTAATTAACAATTCTTACGTTAGCGTCATCCAAAATCTGCCTGATTAGATCTTTCCATTTAAATTTTATCCGGTGGATCTCGAAGTACAGTATCATAATACTAATCAAGATGAAAAAAGAAGGTTTAATGTCAGAATGTATTAGTTCAGAATCTAGTCGACCCTGAATAAATGAAGGTTTAATTTTAGTGATAAATGCTTGTAACAGTCAATTTAAAAGCCAAAAATTCTGATTCAGGAGTTTCTCCCTCTAAAAGTGTCATATAATGAGCTAAAGTGTCACACTTTCAATGTGTATTGATCTTCATAGATGGGTGAAAATACTATATATATATATATATATATATATATCGCCAAATAATATCGTTATCAATACTATATCAATGTGCACTGATTGTAATGACATTATATCCCTATATTGTTTTCTTGTTGGTCCAGGCATATGTTCAACAGTTGGAGAGCAGCAGGATGAAGCTGACACAACTAGAACAGGAGCTTCAACGAGCTCGGCAACAGGTTTGTTCAGTAAATCCTGTGTCCTTATCTGTTTCTTTCTTTGATCACCTAAATATCTAGCACCTCTTTAGAAATTAGCTCACAATCTCTCCGATCAGTTTTTTAAGACAATGTTTTTCTTTCCCCAAAGGAAATATTTATTTCAGGTTCAGGAAACCAATCACAGTCGATGAGTGGAAATGGTATGCTCGTCTTCTGCATTCAGACTTTTATCATTACAAGTTTTTCACTTCTTTGATATTAGATAATCTAGTACGACTGATTTTTTCAAAAATATGAACAAAACATTATGGCTGCGTAACAAGATGTTATCGCCAAGTACAAGTAGATTATTGGTGGAATTGGTGAACCTTTTTAATGATTGTATATATTCACTTTCTGCTCTATATCCTTTCTGATGTGTTCTTACTTACTTTTTTTTTTTCGTTGTTTGATTCCATTGTTTTGTTTTACCACTTGATGTTGTAATTGAAATTTAATCTATCGATAAAATTACTATTTCTCCTATAGACTTTCAGATTCATTAGTGGTCTTCATTTATCGTAATTGTCGAAGCTATATTTGCCCATGTGTTTCATCAGGCCAAGGAAGTTATTGACTGAAGGCATTGGACATGTACACATTTCATTAAAAAAGAAAGGGAAGTTTAACTTTGATAAAAAATGGAGAAGAATCTTACCAGAATAGGGCAAGAAGTTTAGTTTGGAGGTTATTGCATTCTTTTTCTTTTACCTTTTCTGGTTAACTCAAATAATGCATTCATTAATACTTACCAAGATGGTGCAGGAAGTATGTACATCGGATGTCTGCTTTAAACATTCATCCCATCAAGATAATCCATTTGTCTGTTCAAAATGAATGCTCTTCTTGCACCAGAAGTATAAGAAAAACAATAACTTTAGAAAAGGCACAGAAGTGTAGTTCTTCAATATGCACTCCAGCTCGACTGTATTAACTCATCTGCTCCTGGGAACGAGTATGAGATGCTAACCAAGGAGCATTATAAGGCTCCATAGCTTTGACGTGAAACTAGATCCACTAAGAGGCGATTTATTTCATCTCTATGCCTATTGCTTAGGCTGCACCACCCTGTACCAATTTCCCTCCTTGGTTGTATGTAATCACGGAGGAGAAGCTTAAACCATGAAAGAAGCTTTGCTTTTAGATTAGTCATCAATAATTGTTGTTCTTGGGGTAGTGAATCATCAGCTTTTTGGTGGTCTTTATTCCTTTATATAACATGGAATGCCCTTGAATTCGGAATAATTGATTTTGCAAAGCTTGAATATAAAATTTCATCAAAGTAATGCAACTTCTGGTCCTTCTAGGAGCTTTGGCATTTGATGTAGAATATGCCTGATGGTTGGAAAAGCAGAACCGACGAATTAATGAGTTAAGGGGAGCTGTTAATTCTCATGCTGGTGATGCTGAACTTCGCATAATAGTCGATGGAATCTTGGCAAACTATGATGACATATTCAGGATAAAGGGGGATGCGGCAAAGGCATATACTCTTAGCCAACTGATGGCATATTCTCATGTCTACTAGAATGGCCAACTGCTGCTGCATGCTGGCTGAGAACATTTCAAGTTTTACCACTCCTTATAGTGGCTCTATGACAGTGAATTCAATTTTTTTAGTCATTTGAAAGTTTCAGAGAGCCTATAAGGTGCTTATTCCCTTGTTAATTTAAGAGTAGTACATACTCCTGCTGTGAAATATTTGATGGATTCTGACATCCGTAGATCTGGGATTTGGCGTTAATAGTTGCATTTAAGATCTATCTTGGGGATTCTCTTTTCCAAGCCTTAGGTTTGTTTATTTGTTTCGAAGACGGAGAGGGAGAAGGAGGGGGGTTTTATGGATCTCCTACTCATTGCTTTAAGGCTGACTCCTATTTAGTGATGATAATTTACATAAATTTGCTTTGGGAATCAGTAGCAAATCCATCCATGAATTCACGGGTTCTGTAGAACCCATGCTTCAGGGTCGGTACCACACATATGGGTGCGCGTGTGTGAGAATCTCACATTTCAAAACTCACTTTCTAATACACTGCTTTGAAAGACCCTTGGCGACATTTGTAAATGAGAAACCTCTTTGTTGGAAAGCTGAGCTGCTGGATAAATATATTTATATAATGGTATTTGTAACATTGTTTCATATTTAACTAAAATAGTGTGTGATTAATGAATTGTTGTTGTATTTTAGCATATCTAATGGTTCCAGTTAGGTTAATGGAAATAAACACTCACTTATAATACCTCTAATTTTTGCATTGTTATTTAGCTATTAATTTTTTTCATTGTATCGTTTGAGATCTCTTAAAATTTTATTAGTGCCACATAAATTAAAATAACGGAAATATTATATATCATTTAAAAATTACATAAAAGTACTATAATTAACAACTTAAAATATGTAAAAAATTATATTAAAATATGCTGCTATATGAAATGAAACTTGATTCTAATTTGGTATTTTTTTCAAATAAGCTTTTTCCCAATGTTTACAGTAGGATATTGCAACGTTCACAACACTATGTTTAAGGCGTCTCTACAACATTCAAATTCAAACATACCTTTGTTGATACACCATAGCTTCGTTGTCTTCTTCCCAGCGACCCCGACACCAGTACAAGCTCCAGCTATGTTCATCAATTCGTTCGAATTTGTTGATAATTTCTGGTATATCCTTTGTCTTTGAAAAGTAATTCAAATTTCGAATTGGGAATTTGACCTATTCCTATCCGATTATTCCCCCCAATTTATTCTATATAAACCTCTTTCAACTTGTATTAGAGATAGAATCTTGATCAATTGTTGTCTCTGTCAAATCTTCTACTTCTCATGTTCGTTATTGCATCTGTTTTCTAGTTGCTTGGTCATTTTTGCCTATGTTTTTACTTCTTGTTCATCTTTTCTAGCTTTCATTGTTGCTTTTATAATATAGCTGATCGTTCACTCTATGTTCTTGTTAGCTTATTTTATGTTTCGATAGTTTATGTTTCTTTGAAATATTCTGTATGTTGCTGATTTAATTATGCTAAGCTTGGGCTGTTTAATTTCTATATTTCTTTCTTCTTCCATTTTATTGGGAATTCATACATTAATTGTAGTTGAAGCATGATATAGTTACTTTGTCCTGATTAGATTTTGAATCTGTTAGTTCCTCAAATTTTGTTAAGTAATAGAGAATCAATGGATCCATTCTAGACTCCATTACATTTCCTTGGTATTTTGAGAATGACGTAATTTGGTTCATAAAAAGTTAATCAAGTCTAGATATGAAAAATAATCTTATATTTACACATTAGTTTTCTCTTGAAACCCTTGATTTTATGTTCCATGTTTCCCTTGTTCATATTGCAACTAGAATTAACTCTTGATTGTTAGTATGATTAAAGCACAATTTTAAAGTTTAGATTTATATTTTGCCTTCCATTGCAATTCAATTCAGTCCTTGTCTCGGGTTGAATTCTTACTGCTAATACAAGGAAATTTAGCCTTAATTATTTACTTTGAGTCACGGTGTGATAACTTTAAGTTAGATTAGAAAACAAAAGCCTTACTGAATACTTACAAGTTACACCTGTAATGAGTATGTACATACCTTTCCCAAATTTATGTGACCTACATAGACACTATTGTTGTGTACAATTGGTACATGTGAATGAATCATGCCTGCAGTTCTCAAGTATTGTAGTGGCAATACTGTTATGACATTGAGTTTAGATGATAGAATATTCATGTGTTCGTCATCTCGGAGAGTTAAATAACAAGACCATCGGCTCATGTAAAGCGTTACAAAACACGGTTTTCACATTACCTAGGTACACTAGTAAGGGTTATTAAGAACAAACACCTTACTGACTAGGCTTTTCTGACTAAGCTACATTATGTGTGTTGTTTATATACGTGGGTAGAACATCTTGAAACTGTTCTTCCTGCTTGATAAGCAGCATCTGTTATCAAACATCTCAAGAAAAAAAGAAAAAGCACAACTTTAATCTAATACTAAAACATTGTTTTGATCGATTAACCTAATTCCTAGATATTGGATAAGAAGAAGAAATAGAAAACATTCCTGATTAAAGAAGACCATTAACTAATAAATCCAGACTTTCCTGAATCTTACTGTGTAGCTTTTATCCTTGAAACTAATATGTATTAAAAGTTAATGAAAGTGATATTAATTGATCTCTGTTGGCGCAGTTCCTAAATCAACAACTGTGTGCCGTAGCTTCTGATGTAAGTGAAAGACCGAAAGATCAAAAGGTATTACATTTATCATCACATATCGAATGATGGAAATATGAGGAAAAGAAACGTTTCTATGATATTGAGCTCTTTTTGTGGAGACACTCCGTAGGGGTAGGGGATGTATGAGGGGTAGGAGGTGTAGGGGGGAAGCGGGTAGGAGGAGTGAGGATAGGAAAGGGATGGGTAAGACGGGGGTTGGTGGGGTA